TAGTCTTATATGTTCACGGGCCACTGGCAATTGTTTATGAACACCCTGCCCATATGTCTTGCCCTAAATGAGTTTTTACTGGGTAAATATTATAGTGGAATCGCCAGAAAATGCAAAGGAGGTACACTGAGATTGAAAGGTTGGCCGGGCGCCATCGCTCACGTCTGTAATCCCAGCATTTTGGGAGGCCGAGGAGGGTGGATCACCTGAGGTCAGGAGTTCAAGACCAGCCTGGCCAACATGGTAAAACCCCATCTCTACTAAAAATACAAAAATTAGCCCGGCGTGGTTGCAGGCACCTGTAATCCCAGCTATTTGGGAGGCTGAGGCAGGAGAATTGCTTGAACCCGGGAGGCTAAAGCTGCAGTGAGCCAAGATCTCGCCACTGCATGCCAGCCTGGGAGACAGAGTGAGACTCTATCTCAACAACAACAAAAAAGATTGAAATGTTGGTTTAGCAAAGTGAAAAACGCAGATAAACTTAGGTTTGGATTCGCCTGTTGAATACACTGGCTATGTGACCTTGGTTCAATTTCTCAGGTCCCATCTTCTTGTTTGTGAAAGGGGGATGAGGTTTTTATCTTTTAGTGGTGTGAGCAATGAATGGGATAATGCACGTAATGCTGGAAATTATGACAGTTACTACAATAGTTATTCTGCAGAAGTAAGTAACTGCACTATTGGACAGGAATCTATAAAACAGAGAAAGTACATTGGTGAGTTAGTTTGAAGAATCTAAGAGGGCTATTTCTGGCATTTCCACTATTCCACCATTATTTCCTTTTTTTTTTTTTTTTGAGACAGAGTTTCGCTCTGTCGCCCAGGCTGGAGTGCAGTGGCGGGATCTCGGCTCACTGCAAGAGCTCCGCCTCCCGGGTTCACGCTATTCTCCTGCCTCAGTCTCCCACGTAGCTGGGACTACAGGCGCCCCCTAGCCCGGCTAATTTTTTTGTGTTTTTAGTAGAGACGGGGTTTCACCGTTTTAGCCAGGATGGTCTCAATCTCCTGACTTCGTGATCCGCCCACCTCGGCCTCCCAAAGTGCTGGGATTACAGGCCTGAACCACGCGCCCAGCCTATTCCACCAAGATTTCTACCCCTCCTCCCGAATGTTAGTGGTGTCACTATGGCAACAAGCACGCGCTGCTCAAGGCTCAATTTTCCAGCCGTTACCGATCTCCACCGCGTCACTCTCGGCTGCCCAGAGACTCTGAGGCGGATCCCCCAAGCCAGTCTCAGATTGATCCCCCTTGGCCAGAGGGCGAGAAGCCACAGGGCAGTATGGCCAAAGCGGAGGCCTCCTCGTCGCTGGAGGACTTAGACCTGAGTGGAGAGGAGGTCCAGCGGCTCACCTCCGCCTTCCAGGACCCGGAGTTCCGGCGAATGTTCTCCCAGTACGCCGAGGAGCTCACCAACCCGGAGAACCGGCGGCGCTACGAGGCGGAGATCACCGCGCTAGAGCGTGAGCGCGGGGTGGAGGTGCGGTTCGTGCACCCGGAGCCGGGGCACGTGCTGCGCACCAGCCTGGACGGGACACGGCGCTGCTTCGTGAACGTCTGCAGCAATGCGCTGGTGGGCGCGCCCAGCAGCCGGCCCGGCTCCGATGACGACCGGGGCGCAGCTCCTGGCAGTCACTGGTCCCTGCCCTACAGCTTGGCGCCAGGCCGTGAGTACGCGGGGCGCAACAGCAGCCGATACATGGTCTACGACGTGGTCTTCCATCCAGACGCGCTAGCGCTGGCCCGGCGGCACGAGGGCTTCCGCCAGATGCTGGACGCTACGGCCCTGGAGGCAGTCGAGAAGCAGTTCGGAGTGAAGCTGGACCGCAGGAATGCCAAGACCCTGAAAGCCAAGTATAAGGGGACCCCCGAGGCTGCGGTGCTGCGCACACCCCTGCCCGGGGTCATCCTGGCCAGGCCTGAGGGGGAGCCGAAGGGTCCTCGTGAAACCCCATCTCTACTAAAAATACAAAAATTAGCCCGGCGTGTTTGCAGGCACCTGTAATCCCAGCTATTTGGGAGGCTGAGGCAGGAGAATCGCTTGAACCCGGGAGACGGAGGTTGCAGTGAGCCAAGATCGTGCCATTGCACTCCAGCCTAGGCGATAGAGCAAGACTCTGTCTCAAAGAAAAAAAAAAAAAAGGAAATGCAACTGCTTCACATCCTTGTTAATTACCTATATAATAAGTGCAATGAGCACACAATAAATATTTCTTGAAAGGACTAATTTGAACACAGATGGCATTTAAAACTATGGGC